CGGTCGTGGTTCCAAGTCAATATCTCGAAAAATGTGCAAAAAAACATGTGGTATCTTTTGTTGCAAAATTTGTCCAATATTGGGAAAAGCCGCCATTTTCCCCTTAATTTAGGGGTTTCCCGTGGACTGATTTTTGCAACTTTTGGTATGTCACTCTGCACACTACAACAATAAAAATAAAACCATAAAATGTTTACTTGCAAATTTGTATACGATCCCTGTGTCTGGTTTTTTTTAGTTTGCTTGGACTATTACATTAATTTATAAAAAATATTTTTATTTGAAATATTTTATTATTTCTACGGGGTTTATTTTTTGTTGTAGGTACATGTATTTGGTATCATTTTAAAGGTAATTTCAGGAGGAACATTAAATGTATTGACGACTTTTCACCAATATTGACTGGAAAGTCAGAATTTCAATAAAAAGCAAAAAAACTACTGGATTTGGCCGCCATTTTGGAAAAATGGTGGTGTTCCACCAAAGATATTTTTGGAGACTTTTGATATGTTATTCACAATACTTTTCACTATCGAACAACAATGGTTTCATCTGTGTTCTAATTATTTCTAGGTCAAACCACATATTCAGGGGCCTAAAAGGGATCATTGTCAAAGAGACCTAGGTATCGTTCTAGCAGTGGCTTTGCCTCTTCAGAGAGTCCTGCGATGTAATGGGTTTGACAGCCTCTAGGTATCATTTTTCTCGAGACCTGCTGGACAAGCTTAACGAATATGAGTCATACATATCAGGTTGTGGAGGAATATTGGCGATTTCTCTGTCAATGATCTTCCTAAAACCCGTCCAGTTGGCCTTTTTGAAATTAAACCTGCGCCTTAGAGGAACAACTTCAGGTTTAACAACAGCACTAACGGTGCAAACTATAGGTCTGTGTTGAGTTCGGGGAATCGGATCACCTATAGACTTTTCACACTGGGAGGCAATCCTGCTGCTCACAAAGATGTTATCAGGGTTATAACACCCCTATTCCATCTAAAAGTTAAAGGAGCAAGGGAGCTTAGGATCGTGTATGAGCTGCAGGTCATTTGCCTCAGCCCAGGTTTCAAGTTTTGTCCCATTTTCACTTGTCTCTTTGTATCCCCAAGCAATTATGCTCTGACAATTAAAATCCCCCAAGATAATATTAATATCACCATAGCATAGATTATCGGGCTCTGTAAATACATACTGAGATTCAGGAGGCAAAGAGGTGACACTGTACTGTGGTGTCCTGACCGTTAGTATCTCAGTATTGTTCCTCTCAGTAAGCAAAGCTGAGGTGATGTCAATGTATGGCCTGGCAAAAACAGCACTACCATATTGATCATGAGGTCTCTCTAGAATCAGTCTCATTTCCTCTATGTTGGGTCTAGGTTTTAAAATACCCCGGTGTGTTTCTTGCACAAGGAGGAAGTCGCATTCGTACGTCTTGCACATATCAGACAGTAATACTTCTTTTGTCTCTCGACATTCCCTCAATATTAATGGAGATCGTTATTAACGGCCTTGAAAAAGACCGTTTAGGCAGATTCATTTTTCGAAGTCGTCCGGTTGTAGAAGGATTTGCCGCTGACATGTCAGCGTTGCCCGGGGTGCGCCCGATTGTGATGTCGTTCATAGCACGTAATGGTCACAATCTTTGGGGAGGCTCCCTTCTGTGCACCCCATTTTTATTTGTAAAATGGGGTAGAAATAAGGCAGAAACTAGTGAGGTTTAGTCAGGTTGTCAGGCTGACAACCAAAAATCTTAATATTTCAGCTATTTCTCATTCGATCTTTTTGAACTTGGTATCGTTTGATATGGTATTAAAAGTTCTAAATAAAAGTGTTCTAGAGGTTATTTCATAAAATCATTCGTTTTTAAATAATTTAAGTTAAAAAAATTAAAGGAATGTCATTTTGAAAATTTAAGTTTAATCAAGATGATTTTTTTCCTGACATGGGGCTCTTCTACCTTAACCTACATACCAAGTTTTATAAAGATTGGTTGAAAAAATCCAAAAATAAAAATGTTTATGTAAATAATACAAAACGGCAGATATCTGGTTAACGAAGCGATTTTGGGAAAAAATGTTATTCTTGATTTCTCTTTATTTTGACCCATAGAACCATTTCCCGGAGTTTGGCTGTTTACTTACGGGACACCCTGTTTATAGGATGTATATAGAAAAAGAAAGTAAAAAAATAAAAAATCAATATTTGTTCTTCAAAAATGGTTTTTTTTCTATCCGTTGCAGCCCCCTTTTGCTTGTTGGCCTATCTGTAGGCTGCAACCTAGGCGGCCTAGTGGTAACTGTGGCACTGATAACCATGTACTTTGAGGAATTTGAGAAAGAAACCGAAAAAATGTAAGCATATACTGGTTCTGAAACACAGATGCTGTCTTTTCAGATAGCAAAACATCATCACATTGGATGAACAATCTAATCTACTTATGTTTCATGTAAAATATGAATACCAAAAGCATGATTTTCACATAGTCCAGTCAATAAAGGGATTGTAGAGGACATGGAGAGGGGGAAATTTTTTTTCTGCGGGAATGTGTTCGGGGTAGTTAGAGGATAAAAATACCAAAAGTCCCCGCCCCTGGCCCTGCTGCTTCAGCGGGGGGAGGGGGGGAAAGACCCCATTTTTTAGTTTTTTACTTCTACACTGAAAACCGTGCATCGTACGGAAAAAATGTAAATTACAAAAAGAAAGATGATAAAATTCTCTACAAGAATGGTCATATTCATCTCTTCTGTATATGCATTGGCTTGAAAGATATTCTCAATATAATATAAAAATTCTTAAATAAATTGATTTTTCACACGTTTTTTGTCAAATAAGTTTATATAATCCATTAGTCTGTTGTTGTTTCACATCAATCAGGATAGAAAACAGGTTTTTGAACACTAACCCATATAATATAATATATCAATCGTATATATTGTGTTAAAAATAGTTTATATAAATTTAAATAAGTTATGTATATTTGTCATGGTAACAAGTAATTTTGGCATAATTATTAAACTAAAAAATAAAAAGATTATGTTTGTAGCTATATTTGTCCAGGTTTATTTATATCAATTACCAAAACCAAGACTTAAAACTATTGTTCATTGTCTCTCCATAATCCAATTCTTGTTCATTAGACTCAATATCTGCTATCGATGTGAGAGTGCAGTGTATATATATTCTTCATCATCCTCATTTATCAGAATTGGCATTCTATTTAAACGGTCCCCTTAGCAGGTCTGGCATAACGGCCAACGAGGAACATTTAATGGACATTTCATTGCATGTACATCTTTCATTGCTACAATCTTTAGTATATTTGCAAAAAACAAGCCCAAAATTTCTCGTGGGTTAGGGGGTTCATTGGTTAAAACTGGGAATAGATTTTCCAAACAGAATTGTCCTTGATTAAATGATACAAATGAACTTGTTGAACTTGCTCCATTTAGAGTGGTATGAGTGAAGACCAAAAATGCCTGCACTGTTCAAGTTCTTTGGAACCAACCAACAACAGTTTTAACGACTTTTAATTTGGTTATCGATGGGGTATTTCTCACGCATAAGGTTATATGGCAAAGGGGATCTTCAGTGTCTGCGATATCTTATGGATACGTGAGGTACGTGGATACCTATTACCAAGGCAGTAGCAATTCAGAAAACAGCACGAAGATGGCAGGAGACCAAGAAAGACGCTACAGATTGAAAAAGCCAGTAGCAGTGGCGGTTCCAGGATTTAATTTCCGGGGGAGCCTCCGGTGGTTAAACCCCCCCCCCCCCCCCCCGGAAAGATGTGGAATTTAAAGCACGATAACGTATTTTATATGCATTTGAGCTCTAAAATATCTTCAAGCTAATAGTATTTATGTTAGCTAATAAAATATTTCGGAGAGGATATATACCTCCCACCCCCCCCCCTCCCAAGGGACCACCACTGGTCAGTAGATATTCATTTGAAAAGAGACACCGAAATTATAGTAACCAGGAACAGTTAATCCCTTAACCAAGTTTTTTGCAAATGTACTAAAGATTATAACAGTGCCAGATGTGCAATTTGTGCATGCAAGAAAATGTCCAATAATTGTTCTCCGTTATGCCAGAACTGCTAAGGGAACCTTTTTACATGAAATGCCCATTCTGACGAATGAGGAAGATGAAGAATATATAGGCCCACACCGAATTCTCAGTTCGATAGCCAATATTGAGTCTAATGAACAAGAATTGAATAATGGAGATGTCCTAGATGGTGGTTTACAGTGCCAGATGGCACCTGTTTTTGGGACAGAAGTCGGACCCTCTAGTCCCAAGTGGGCCAGACCATGAACAATAATATTAAGTCTTGGTTTCGGTAATTGATATAAATAAACCTGGACAAATATAGCTACAAACATAATCTTTTTATTTTTTAGTTTAATAATTATGCCAAAATTACTTGTTACCATGACAAATATACATAACTTATTTAAATTTATATAAACTATTTTTAACACAATATATACGATTGATATATTATATTATATGGGTTAGTGTTCAAAAACCTGTTTTCTATCCTGATTGATGTGAAACAACAACAGACTAATGGATTATATAAACTTATTTGACAAAAAACGTGTGAAAAATCAATTTATTTAAGAATTTTTATATTATATTGAGAATATCTTTTAAACCAATGCATATACGGAAGAGATGAATATGACCATTCTTGTAGAGAATTTTATCATCTTTCTTTTTGTAATTTACATTTTTTCCGTACGATGCACGGTTTTCAGTGTAGAAGTAAAAAACTAAAAAATGGGGTCTTTCCCCCCCTCCCCCCGCTGAAGCAGCAGGGCCAGGGGCGGGGACTTTTGGTATTTTTATCTTCTAACTAACCCGAACACATTCCTGCAGAAAAAAAATTTCCCCCTCTCCATGTCCTCTACACCCCCCTTTTGAGCATTCATTGACTGGACTAACACTCAACTATGCTGAATTTTAACATAAATTTGTCTAAAAAATATACTTGCTGTTGCTAAATGCTGGAAGAGCGTTATGTCTGCCAAATTGTCCAATAACCATTGCTTCTCTTCTGGTGTTTTGGGGTGGACTATCTGCAAAGTAATATAGTAAAGTAAAGCATATGAAACAAACTTGCCATGATGTATATTCCTCTAAATACGTAATCTTAAAACAGTGTACTTAGTAAACAATGTTTGTGTTGTATATATAGACATCCCCACTAAAATGTATTACTTTTAGTAGTATTCAATAATTAATTTGATTTGACAAAATATCATACAAACTACAAACAAAAAGAAATGGTTCGTGTCACTAGATGAGAAGAGTTTCAGAAATAAGAAAGCCTATGCAGGGTGTCTTGCAGCTTTATGAACAAACTTTGTCACATATTATTTATAATGTCAAAAGAAACAAAAAATTTAATATAACATATGTTCTATCTCATTCCGTTTTTGGTCTATCTGTCTGTATGTGATTTTTACAAAAACATTCATCACTCCTTAACTGTTTAAGCTACAGCGTAAAATTCTGTAAAAATTTTCATCTTGTTGATATCTATTGCCTAATGAGAATAAAAACTCTTGAACCGTTAAAAAATTGTGACTTTTTAAAATATTTGATACCGCAAATTCCATGAAAACTGTTCATTTTACAAAATATTTGCAAGGCATGTAAAATCTAGTAAATTTTGTGTTGATTACAACTAAATCTTATAAGATTAGTTTGGACAAAGAATGTATAGTTAGAATATAGTTAGAACTGAGAAATAAATTTGTTTCTTGTTTTACTTTCGGTTTACTCTATTTAAACAATGTTAAGAAAAAGTTTTATCAATTTAGACACATATGTTATATTACATTTTTTGTTTCTTTTGACATGCTGAATAACGTGACAAAGTTTTTTTTTCATAAGGTTGCAAGACACCCTATATATTTGTTTCATCACGCTTAGATTGCAATATCTTATGCCCACATGAAGAGTGTTTGACAATCTTACTAATGAATGTAAGAAATATTCACTGTACCTGTTTATAATCTTTGTCTGAGGCCGGGTCATAACTTTCAGCAAATACAGACTTTCTTCTGGTCTTAAGTCTATCCTCCCAATTATCTGTAAATTTATTAAGTCATGGGCTACAATGTAAACTTTAAATTTATAAAGTCATAGGCTACAAATATAAACTTAAAGTTATTACAAGATCTCAAAAACTATAATCCATTCAGAAAATTTAAGCGGTTTGAGAGAAAGTTCCCCCCACACTTTTTTTCTGCTTCAATGCATGTTGCAGCTGATTGACGTATTGACAAATCTCAGCCATTGAGCTATGTGGGTGAGGTTCATAATGTCCAAATTTCACAAACTCCAACGTCTAAAATATTAAATAAACAGTGCGTTTCATAACCTCCAAACTTCATAAACTCCAAAACTATAACTTTCAAATAAGCACAGTTTCACAATGTCCAAATTTCACAAACTCCAACGTTAATATATTAAATAAACAGTGCGTTTCATAACCTCCAAATTTCATAAACTCCAAAACTATAACTTTCAAATAATCACCGATTCACAATGTCCAAATTTCACAAACTCCAACGTTTAAATATCAAATAAACAGAGCGGTTCATAACCTCCAAGTTTCATAAGCTCCAACGGTACAGTCTCTGCCAGAAGTCGCTGCAGAGGTTGCCGTGGTTCGGTATGTAAGCGCTACACGTTCTACTGTTGTAGCGGCGCGACACGAAGCAGCATTGTTGCTCCGTAATTGCTTTCTTAAGAGTGTAAAGTATTGGTGTTAATACCCCTTCCGCAGCAAACCTGCAGACTAATCGAATTTCCATTTTCCTTATTTGATTTACACTATCCATGAAGTTATTAGCTGGTTATCACCGAGCGCTGGCGAACGGTGCCTGCTATCTGACTGTGGCAACCACTGTAGAGACTTCTGGCCCAGACTGTACCGTTGGAGGTTATGAAATTTGGACATTATGAACCGTACTGTTTATTTGGTATCTTAACGTTGGAGTTTGTGAAATTTGGACATTGTTAAACAGTGATTATTTGAATGTTATAGATTTGGAGCTTATGAAATTTGGAGGTTATGAACCGCTCTGTTTATTTAATATTTTTAAGCGTTGGAGTTTGTGAAACTTGGACATAGTGAAACAGTGATTATTTGAATGTTATAGTTTTGGAGCTTATGAAATTTGGACATTATGAAACGCGCTGTTCATCTAATATTATTTTAAGCGTTGGAGTTTGTGAAATTTGGAGTTTATGAAACGCTCCCAGCTATGTTATTAAGGTAGTACCAATACATGGAGGGAATAAATTTCTTCCCCTAAAACCGCCTAAATTTGGTCATCGGAGTATAGATAAGCACTAAAATATAAAATAAAAATACCCCTGTCCCAGCAATCAACTTCAAAATAAACGTTTTTAGCACATTTTATCAAAGTTGGATGATTTTGACTTGCGTTATCGTGCTAATAATAAAGAAGTATGTTGGTGAATTTTTAGCCTTTGTGGACATAAAAACAAACAAAAAATTGTCCCGGGTCTAAGTCTTAGCATGAGACCTATATGTGGTAATAGCCTATATTCTCTGTAAGGAAAATTAGCTAAAAACTAGATTTAGATACTATGAAAATAAGTAGCAACAACCTAAAATAAATGTTTGATGAATATGGACGTTAAACAGATTTTTTATCATTTAAAGCAAATGAGTATGTATGTCATTCAATTTAAAAAATACATGTTCAAGGGTCAATTTATTAGTAAGTTATGATTGGAGTTATGGATTGGTGGGTAAGTGTTTAACAATTTTTAAAGTTATAATTTCAATAGTTAGTTTATGATTTCAGGTGTATCGGGATGTGAGAAAACAAATATTGTTGAACTATTTTGAGTCTTTAAACATGCTTAACATTATCAAATGTACAGTAATCACAGAGAGAAAACTCATACTGATCAGCAAATACTCGGCTACAACTCACTACAGAAATAAGCAATATTTGTGACATGTTGAATGTAAATAGAGTCAACACAAACTGAAATTATTTAGTGATGCTCTTCTCTTCATCAAACAATCTAGATCAGATTAAGTGATGTACAAATTGGTAGTTGACACAACACTAAAAATATTGAGAAACCATAATCAGAGATGGTATTATTATTAAAACAAGCTGTTTGGCCCGTCCTACGTACGGGGATCAAGTAGTCCATTAAAACTCTATGTGTCTTATTACTAATTCAACCATAAATTAAGCAGTTCAAAATTTATAGTAAAGAAAAAGCTGCCAATAAGAGGAATTAAAACATGTGATCATTGTTATTTTCCCAACCTTTCCTAAAAAAATTGAGTAGTAAAATAATTTTCATAAGCTTTCTTTTGAAGACTCGTGAGCTTCGATTCATATAGGCCTACAACAATACTTATAGAATCTTACTTATTTCCTATATAATCAATGACGAAATCACAGAGTAAATTAACTAACCTCATAGTTCTATAGAATATTTTTTATTCAACCAGCTGTTGGATATAACAAATTATATTGCACTAAAACAAACTAAAACTAAACATTATAAAAGACTGCTCAAAAAAAGAAATTAGAACATCTAGTACCGGTATTTTACTATGTATATTTAAATAAACTCTTTATTCTCTTACCGAATAAATTAACATATAATATAATAATTATAGCATTACACATAGTATAAATAAGTCAATTCCACGAATGTCATTTCATTTTTATCCAAATGCTGAATTTGTTTTGAAAACACTGAATGTTTTTGTACAGCTGTTACGTTAAGCAAATTATATCATACCAAAAGCTAGTTTAGAATGTTAGCGTCGGCTGCTAGACTTTTTAAAAATTAAAACTTAATTTCTAAAAAACTGGGACCCTAAACTAAAGTTATGGCTTCGACATTCTCTAGTTCTCAAAATTATCTTTCTTTCAACATAAAAATCATGAAAATCTGTCAAGTGCTTGATTCAGAATCGTAAAATAAAAAAACCCTGTCACGTTTTAATATCTATATATCTATATCTATATATATCTATATAATACGTGAAGCCGTTTTTTGTTAACATAACTCCTCCCTTATTTGTGGACCAATTTCAATGTTTGAGGTGTCAAAAGATTCGTCTCAATATGTAGTTTTGCAATAAGGTTTTAAAATTTCTGCTCTTAATGGCGTGAGAGACTCTCAAAGGTCGGGTTTTCCCCATAAGAAATACATAGAACAAATTTAAAAACAAAAAACACCTGTTTATAAAAAGAAAATCATTAGCTTTTTGGGAGTAAATATTGATGTTTCTTAAGACCAAGTTAAGCAGTTGCAGTTAATCAGTTTTGTTGGAAGAACAGAAAATGCCTCAAGTTCAAAGAAGAAATATTGAACACGGGAGGACACAATTGTCACGGTGGGAAAGTAAACTTGCCTAATGTCAGATCAAATGAATGCATGGAAGAAATGTTTACTTCAGACACTGACAGATTGAGATATTTCAAAACATTTAGTAGAAACTATAATAATGCCTTGACTATAATAAGTTCAAGTAGTAAGATTATACCAAATCTTGGCGGACCTTATGTTTTTATCGTAAACTTTTGTAGGTATTACAAAAAATAAGAAGTTTCAAAAACTCATATGCTATTGAAAGTTTTAGTGGCGATATTAGACCATACCATTGACTATATATATACATAAGTGTAGGAATTAGTGTTTATGTATTGAACGATCGAGTAGTTACGGTCAAGTTTATTTTTATGATTCAGGAGAGGCAAATAATATACGCTTTTCAAAAAGAGAAAATTAAAATTGTTATCCAAATATTATAGCTACAAGAGTTATCCAACCTATTTCAACAAATGTATACATACTTTCAAAACTTTGGGACAGGTATTAAGAGAAACTGCACTAACGTGAGAACGTTCTGATTCGGGGCATATAACATGACTGACAGACACATTCATTAGTAACATGTTAAATTACATTAACCAACTTTCAATGGTATTGCTGCTTTAGCCTATTCGAAGCAGATATGACTGTCCAGTTGGTAGCCCATAAGAGTTTGTGGGTAAAAAATGGAGCACATGAAATGGTTGACATCACCCCACTTTTCAGGTTACTCTACGGAGAAAAATCGTTTGATCAGGGGGATGTCTCAAATCAAAGAAATAAAATGACCCAACTTTAAATACTTAAGACAGGTTATCAGTAAGGTAACAGTGTTCTTCAAATTCTCAATGCTGGAAAAACTTTGTTGCTACATGTTAACTCGAATTGAGGCAGATCGTTTAGCATTCATTAGAAGTTATCAGAACTGAGAGCAGAAATAATGTAGGTGAACCTTGACGACGCCAATAGAGATATTTAAAATTAGTTTCTAACAAGTTTTCAAACAACTCTAAGATGTAATGTAACTAAAGTTACTCGAATTCAAGCATAATTCTTTTCTCGGCGTTATGTTTCATACTATGCGGCTCATTGAGCCGCACGGGTTCTCTAGTTATAGATAATTTATGTTGTATTTTTAAGGTATTACAATTCCAAGTAACTTTCAAATTTAAAGCTTATCCGTAACTCTTTTGGTTTTTGGGCTATCACTAAGGTGTAAAAATGTCCAAAGAGATAACAACGGCAATGCAAATAGTTAACGCACAGCAAATAATTGATTTAGGTTTTACCAAAATGTTTGTACTAACAAGAGATTTAAAATCATGTAGAATATGACTGACATATTATGATTTTATTGGACAATTAATTGTGATATTTGAACTAGTGAACAGCCGGTTTTTGTACATCCTGTGTTTAAAAAAACATAGTATATTTAAATCATTCCTTGGTGTTGGTTTAGTCTGAAAAATGTTCATTTCATCATTGTGTGGGATGAACGCCCAACGGTTTGTCTGATATCAATAGTGGACACCTTACGAGATTCAACCCGTATCATACAGGGTGAACAACTTATCACCATTGGTTAAAAAGTATGTATTATTTTTCAACTTTTTCAAACCAGCATGGAAACCCATAAGGCCCATGTTATGTTTTAAATTTCAAATTAATTTTTTGTGCTTATTTTTTAGCCTATTTTAATGTATACG